CATCAGAAATGACCTAGGGGAAATAGAATGCTCATGGAGTGCTGAACTGGCAGCCTGCTCCTGTAACCAGGGCAGGCTGGTACTGAATTGTCATTGTAAGATCTTGGTCCACTGGGCTTTCAGCCAAGTAAGCCATAAGCAGAGTCCCTTCCCACCCCAATCATTTGGTGATTTTGTCAGGGACTCACTTTCCTTTCCTTCTTTTCTCTGCTTTTCGCTGGGAATGTGCTGGGAAATGTCCAGCAAAGCGGCCTTTGCTGCCAGCTCGGAGAGCTCACAGAGCTTCTGGACCTTGTCACTACTGCCTTGGGAGGCAAGGCAGAACCAGCATCCTAGGGGCTTCGGGAATTGCCCTCTGGGATACATGGCACACATTTCAGGGCTCCAAAATTCCAGATTCCAGAAAGGAAAATAAAGACAAAGCTCTTGTGGAGCCGAAAGCCCAGTGGAGAAACACCTCAAAATGAAAATTCAGTGCCAGCCCTGCCCTGGTTACAGAGGCGGGCTGCCAGTTCAGCACTCAGTGGGTGTAACAAAACCGGGCATTCTACGCCCATTAGGGCATTTCTGATGGGCTGCTAATGATGGGTCATTTGCAGGAGCTGCCCAGTGCACCCTGAGCCCTCAGGCTACCAGCTGGGTGCTAAATGAGATAAGGAAGGAGAGACAAAGCGTTCCAGGCAGGGCATTGTTTCCTTTTCCTCACACTCCACACTCAGCTGTGATAACTCCCTCCAGGGGAGCACCAGCACAGTCCCACCCAGCCTGGGGGGGTCACCTCTGCTAATGGGCCATCATGGGATCAATGGCACCAGCACAATGGGGAGATGCAAGGACTGACACCAACAAGGACCCCCCAAATGTCCCATGAGTCACAAGGTGACATCATTCCATTGTGAAACTCCCCGCCCTGGGGGAGGTACTGAGYATTCCCTGCTGAACCTGAGCATATAAAGCCTTTGGGGCTTGAGCCTTGGGTCACCACCTCCACTCAACGGATGCAGAAGAGGAGCAGAACTTCCACAGGAGCACCACTTCAACGGGACTGTGAAGGACTGGCACTTGGCAGGATCTCAACCATTGCGCTGACCAACAGGGAGACAGGTAGAACTCAACCTTTGTGAGTTAAACCCAGTTTTCTCTCTATTGTTGTATTTTTTATTATCTCTAGTGAACTGTGACCTCGACCTGTAATCTCTCTTGGGGTAGTTGAGTCAGGTTCATTTCTCCTGCTGGTTTACTTTCAAACCAGCAC